AAGTCGTTCTCTTCCTAATACACAGTGGAGCGAAGTAAACCAGAAATAATAAGTGCTAACCAATAATAACAAAGTTTGGGCCATCATACGAATTTGTCTGGAATGAGTAACTTAAAAACTTATAATTAAAATTAACATAAAAGTCTCAAGTCTTCAAATAAATTCCTTTTTTAGACTCCAAAAATTTTTTTAAAACTTTTCATAAATCAAGATCGCTAAATTCGGGCAAATTAAAATGTTTTTCACATTAAAAATTTATTTCATTTCGAAAAAGGTTACTACTCAGATTTCAAATAATTATTTTTTCAAAAGCAAATCACCTTAGCAATAAATAAATGAGAAAAAAATATTAGAGAAAACTATTTCAAGAAAACATTTCGCAAAAATAGTGGCAATGTGTTTTTCTTTTTTTCGCGAAAATACATTTTGTGAATTGTGAAAGGAAACTTAGAATTTTACATTTCCCCAGCACTTAGAGTTTTATATTTCCATATCACTTGAAATTTTATATTTCCGCACCAATTAGAATTTTGCGTTTCCTCATCAGTTAGATTTTTATTTCCAGTTGCTTATTATAATTTACCTTATTTTACGAAATTTCAGAGGCATATTTCACAGAAAAGAATAACAAATTTGTACAACAAATAATTTAAAGCAATGCAATTTGAATTTGAATAATCGAAAGAACTTATTTTTCAACGAATTAGCCTATATTTGAAATATGCCTCTTCGAAATATTTGAATTGACCTCTCTGTACCATGTGGATTTTTTAATGTTAATAAATTAATTGAATTATAAATCCAAAATTCTTCGAAATTTTCGTGATTTGGTAATAGAAGCAGTTTAGAAATACAGAAATTTTCTATATTTTTCCACAAATACTTAGCCTTCCTTTAGCCTTCATTGCTTCGCAAAGGAAATTTCGCTGAATGGGCATCGATAATTAAAAGCCATGAAATTTTTTTAGTTATATTATTATAACATTTTTTTAATTCGGAATTTTTCGTTTTCTGCCATTTGTTTTTAAATAAAAATCGAAAATATTCAGTTAAAATCTACACAAAAACAACTGCATCTATGCATATAGAAGGATTCATTATCTAAGAATCTGATCCGAAATAGGCATCTGATAAGCTAAATTTAGAAACAAAAATATAGCTTATAGATTTCATCAAATACTTACTTTTACTTCCTTTACTATCAAAATTTACTCCATCTGTTAAGATTACTTGAGGCCATCACCGGTGTTATACATTATAAAATAAAATCTATGAGGCTTCGAGCATTTTTTAAATTAAAAGGTAAAAATTTTGATTTATTAAAGTATTTAATACAGCTTTAATCATTTCGCCTGATTTCTGACAATTCATCTGATAATTAGTCTGGTAATCGTAACTTTTAAAAATTATATTTTAGAAAAGAATAGAGTAAATATAATTGGATTCATTAGAATTCCTCAACTGTAGAGAAATTTTCAATATAGCGCGTAGTATTCACGTTTTTATTTTTTAAATACATCATTGAATACGTAAAAAAGATGGATAATTGATAAAATAAATCAAGCAATAAATGAACGTAAAAAATTGCATGTTGCAAGAATCGTATCGCTTAAGTTGGATAATTTTTCCAAACTCAATTATCATAAAAACTTTTTAGAGAAAGTTTTTTATAAGAAAGAAAGTGAGAAAGAAAGTTTTGAAAGCGATTTTACTATCAAATTAATGAATTTATAGAAAGTTTATCGATAAAAATAAAAACATTTAAATTTTATTTATAAATATTTTTAAATTTCTTATTTATAATTTTTGAGAAATGGAATGATTTTAAGAAAATAATTTTTTTATTTGAAAAAATTTTAGTGTCACCAAAATAAACTTTTCAACTATCGATTGTTATTATTTAATTAGTGGCGCAGTGCTTGAGGCAAATTTTGAAGTAAGCCATTTAAGCACACAAGAATTCTTAGCTTGCTTGGCTTGGCTTTTTAACGTTTAGAATCGATTTTTTATACCTATATTATAAATCCATGAACAATTATTTATTTTAACTTATCACTGTTTGTTCATGAATTAATTTATATTATCACACATCACTCTACTTTTTTTTGTCAAATAGCTTATTAAACTTTTCCATAAAAAAAGAAAAATTTCTTTTTTTACCATTTAATGAAAGTTTATATTAAAAAATTAAAAATTAAAATTAAAAATTAAAATTAAAAATTAAAAAAACGAAAGTTTAAAATTAAAAAATAAATGTAATTGTTGTAATTACAATGATTATTATAAAATTAATTAATTGTTATAATTATTCAATAATTATTTGGAAACTATTTTAAGGACCGCTTTGTAAAACAAATGCACTATTTCAATAATTTAAGGCTAATTTCATTTTTTTTCTTTCACAAATAAAATAAGAACGCAAACAGTAGAGGAAATTGAATAAATGTTTCAAAAAAAAATTCTTTTTTTGACAATCTTTTAAAAAGAATTCAATTTAGATTTCATGTTTTATACGATAAATTAGATAAAAAAAAGGAAAAAATAGGAAATTGCGAAAATCGCGCAACGAATTTCATCTCACCTCGAGCGAAGTTTTCCGAAAGTGATATTTCAGCGAATTTTTTTCGCTAAATTCGCTAAATGGAAGAAAGCGAAAATGGCAAATCACTTTTCGTTAGTTGAGATAGATTATTCGCATCGATTAAATAGAAGAATGGCTTATTTTAGATGGTTGGCTTATTAAATAATTGCCTTCTCAATAAATTTGTTGTTTTTCATGCATGATTAGCTCTTTTTTATAGCTTTTAAATGTTCTGAAAATCAATTGGAGTTTGAAGCAATAAACGAAAGGAAGCGCCACCTAATGCATTGTAAATTGAGGAATACGAAAATTGCGTATGAAAGTGCAATCGTTTCATGCTTTCATCCGAATTGCATTCACTTTTATGGTTCAATTTTTGCGAATTTTATTTGTCAAAATTATTTCAAACATTGTAAAAATTTTTTGATAAATATGAAAAAAAATTTTATAGCACTTTTGGCAAAAATTTTCGTTGTTTCTCTTCGAATTCAACGAATTATATTTTCGTTCCATAAAACGAATAGTAAGAAAAGAATTGCAAATCGCATCTTCTTTTTTGAAATTGCCGTATATATCGCTAAACTAAAGCGAAAAACAATATTCTTGTAATTCCAAAAGGGGAAAAAATGAATTTCGGTTAAAATAATGGCGATCGAGCGATCTGAAGCGAATCTGAAGCAAATCCATCTTTGTAGATCGAAGAACAAATCACTTAACTTCTTTCAAAACGAAGTTTAAGGATGAAAATTGAAATTATGCATCCCTTCATAAAAAAAGTATCTCTTTCAAATTTAACTTTAATCGAGGAAATGGGCGAGAAAAAGCGATGAATGAATGGAAACTGAGAGGCACATATGCACCGCTAATTAGATCTTTCAAGAGAAAAGCGCATCCATCTTATTGTCTAAGGGATTAATTTAGCACAACAAAATAATATTCAGCTAGAAAGAATTTCCATGGCAAAAACAATTTTTCACGTTCATTCAATAAGTGTGAAAATAGAGATAAATACAATGGAATTATAATTGAAATAATACGTCACAAAAAAAGGCGAAAAGTTTTGGGAAAACCTATCTGCGATTTAACGCGGATAAAGAATTTTATCGCTAGAAAACACAGCTTTCATCGTTATTTATAAGACTGAAGGAAAAGAATAGTAAATTTGTTTATTAATCATAATTTCACCAAAAATCACCAATATCACCGAGAATGCACGCTATGAAATTCCTTGATTGTAAGAGACCACAAATTTTTGTAGAGGTTCCTACTTTCTTCTTGAAAAAGAAAGATTTTTCCTATCCACTCCTTATAAAAGAAATTTTTATGCATCGATTCGCCACGATGGAGAAATATTCTTTTCCACCGATCGCCTAAAGTTCCTATGCTATTCCTGAAGATTTTGCATATTGTACTATGTGAATAAATTGACGTTTCTGAGGTGGTGCTAAAGACATTTTTTAAGATTTTAAAAATTCACGAGAAATTCCATTCAGGAAATATTTTATTATGCACATATGCATGCATATACAAGGAACATTTCTTTCTAGATATTCACCTTCTTGAAACTTCTTTTTTTTTCTAAAAATTAATTTGGCACAATTATTTTCTTTTGCAAAATTTCTTTCTTTTTTTACTTTTTAACTTTATTTTTCGTTTTTAAAACTGGTTTAAAATTATCTTTAAATCTTAAGTTTTAAAGTTTTGATATATTGCTTACTTTTCTTAGTAAGTGATTTATCCTTGTTGCCGCATTAACTTCATAGGAGTTTGAAAAAAACTAAAAATATTGCTTCTATAACAAATGTGCAACAAATGTGTATATTTTTTATCATCTTCTTCTTAAAATATGCGATTTAAAATTAGCAAATACTCCTCCAACAATGTTATAATACAATCAAAATTCCGTATTATTTTTTCATTACTGTAATTTGAAATTTATACAAAATTTTAAAAAAGTATTACAGGTATTTAACTTGTCATCGATCTCTGTTGGAAATCTCTGCTATAACCTCAGTCCAATCTTTTTCATATTAAACATTCAAATTCTTTTGATGACCTATGTAAGCTATATAACCAATAAATGCAATAAATTTTACTGATTAAAAATAAAAAACAATGTCATCCTCAACGAACAGACAAACAACAATAATAAAGATAATTTAAGAAATCCATCCAAAATTCTAGTTAAAACAAAAAAAAGCAGCACTATGTGGGAATCACTCTTTTCATCATTATATTCAACTACTTATTTTTTGTCATCTTGTCTTCAAATATGCGATTTAAATTAGCGAATACTCCGCCAATGTTATAATACAATCAAAACAATTCTTCATTTATAATCATGATTCTACTCAAGCCTATTTATTAAATCTATTAACCGAAAAAAATAAGAAAACCATACTTATTTATGTTTGAAAACTTAAGAAACAGCATGTCTTCGAAAACCAAATAGCTTCCCCGTGTATCGCTTGAGCAAACTGTCATTCGATGTGTGCCTTTTTTCCTCCGCCTCCTAAAAAAATCAAATATTTTATAGTAAATGTGTTTTGCTTGAAAGAACATGAAATAAAAACATGGAGATAACTTTAAACAAGGAACTAACTGTACCTTTTCAGCTAATTCAACCGCTCTTCTTCGAAATTCTTTCGCAGGATCGTCAAATTGACTATAATATTGTAGAGTAGGCCTGACGTCATCGACATCTGATAAATGAATGGCTGCAAACAAATTTTAAAAATCTAAAATCTATCTGCAGAGATATTTAGAACAAATATATATAAATACATATACAATGCAAATACATAAAACTTAAAATCGATGGAGTCGCCCATTATTGTCTTGAAATAGAGAAAAAGACCAACTTTTGAGCAACTCTGCCAAATCAACAAGAGAAGTGTCATCCATATTACCCTCCCATTTCGGAATACGAAGTACATTTTCAGGATTTAATTGAAAAGATTTGGGATCATGATCTATGAATATGACTTTAGACATATCACGATTCAATTGCGATAATACCTGCAAAAAAATTTTAAAAATACTTCCAATAAACAATAATAAAATTCATTCCGATTTTTCGAACTTGAGAAAAAGTCAATATATAGCTTAAAATGGTATTAACAGAAGAAGTAACTAATGTACTGTTTAGGCTTAAAAATATTTCACTTATATTTCATAAGCTCAATCCAGTACTAATAGTACCTCAGTAATAGTGCCAATTACAGAAAATTGCAAAAAGAAAAAAAACGAATTAGATGCATTAGCACATAACACATATTAGCAAAAAACAACCTAATATAAATAACAACTAATAATAATATAAATACCTTCACGTGATGACCGTTCATGTATTTGGTACAATCACGGTACAATTTATACATAATGCAGTGGTCGGGATCTAGAGACTCTACGAGCTGATGGGCACTCATAGCTGATTCAGATGTATATAATACCACTTCAAAATTTGGATACTTGATCATAGTAAGAAAGTAGTCCAAAGCTGGTCGCTTTATGAAACGATAACCACTTGTATACTGAAAAAAATTTTGAACTCCAAGTCCAAGAATAAAAAAACGAATAAAAAAAACGCAACAGTTTGATCTGGAAAATACATACACTCCAATCCGGTGCTACAAGAATATTTTTCAGCTCCATAACCAATGTATATTTCGGCTGATAATACGGAGGCGCTATTGGTGAAGGTAACAGAACTTCTCTCGACGGCTCAATAACATACTGAAAAATAACATCATATATTTCATCATCATATCATATATTATAAGAAGCGTTTGCTGCTCAAAGAAAATAAATTCAAGCATATTTTTTTTATTTCATTTTTTATATTTTATTTTTTTGTAGACTGAAAGATCTAAGACTACCGAAATGAAATCACTAGTCGAAATCAATAGAAACGGAAAAATAATAAATTGATCCAAATTTTTGATACCTCATTTCATTAAAATGAATAGTTAAGATTTAATAGATTTTTCAAAATGCGCATCATAATATAATTTAACTATTCAAAGAAACAAAATTAAATCGTATCAACGCATATTCAATAATTAAAGAGAATTATTTGATTTACATCCATCCAAAGATGAAAATGCTTTCTGATACGTCGAAATGGAGCCAATAGTGATCCACTAAATTCATCACGAGTGGCGAGGCCATTTTCATCACGAGGTGACTTTCCTAAAAAATATCTCTTTTACTGCAGGATATTTTATTTTTTTGGATTTATAACCAAAATAAATAAATAAATAAAAATGTAAATAAATAATAAAAACATAATAATAATAAATAAGAACATAAAATAAAAAACAAAAAATATAATTAATATAATATACCATAATGAATGCAAAACCACGTAAAACCAAGAATAATACTTCCAGCACCGAAAATTACACCAAGTTTTGTATTTCTTCTCATTCTTTGATTTCTTTTTTCTTCTTCAGAAGCATTCTCATCAATATTCTTTAAATAAAAACTTTGTTATAAAGCATTATATGTTCCATTAAAAAAATTCGCAAGCAAGCAATTAAGACAAATAAGCGGAAAAAAATTTGATAATTCGTATTATTCATCACTCATTTCTCACTACATTTGGTATTATTCATCGCTAAAAAGAACTTAATTTTAATTCAGTTTTTTCGCTACATTTTTCTTCTTTACTTTCATACAGAAAAATAAAAAAAAATTTTCAATTCCAGGATTCTTCGAATGCACCCTGAATATTCTCAAAATTTTCCACTGTTCATTAATTTGAATAACATTGGAGGACAGGGATGAGGGGGAAGGAATAGGGATTCGACTGATACAATAATTGTTGTATTTCTAAAATTAAAAGGTGTGAAAGTTCATAGAACTTTAACCTCAAGGTGCAATTTTTTCTGCATCGAGTTCCAAAAAGTATTTTGTTTTGTAACTGATGTATGATTACCGGTTATAGCCAAATTTGAATCAGACTCAGCTGCGCTCTAAAACAGATAAATAAATAAATAAATTTTAATTCTCATTTCATATCATATCTGAATGAACGAATAATGATATATCGCATATACGACTAATTTCATGTAAACTGATAGGATTAATAATCACCTTCAAGGAAGCTATTCCATCAGAATTTGAAACATCTAATTCAAGCAGAACTTGTTTACCACAGCCTTCATCTTTTGATGTTAACGATTCATTTTCACTGGAGATGAATTCCACAAATCTATTCATATCTTTGCATTTTTCTTCACTATATAATTCTTTGATTTTTGATAAATCATCGATTGCAGATATCTAAACGAACAAATAATTAAGAATTCTGGATTTATAATCGAAAAAATTGGCAAACATCGAGCCATATTTAAAAAACAAAAATAATGTGTAAACATCGTAAATTTTCAACAAAAAAATAGTTCTAACTTTCTGTCGCCTGGCAGGATCATCGAATGGGCTCACTACATTCAGATCTTTGAGTAAAGAAGGAAAACTATCACAACTATTTTGATCATTCGAAATTGATCGTCGAATAGGCACTACTGTCCAAGAAGAACATACGGCTCGTATTGACGCAATTTTAGCGGAAGCTACAAATCTTGATGTGCACCGCAACATTTCCGCAAAAATCCTTCATAAAAGCATTGAATGCCCTGAAATTATTCCACAATTCATTTCGGTTAGTCCATAGTTAAAACCGCAATAATAATGCAATTTATTCGATTCATCAAGCGATCTATCAGCGCGAAGTCGCCTCAGAAAGTGCAAAGCATCACGATTTCAGTGCTCGTTTACTAATGGAAGCGAATATACCCATAACCTGAAATCCTACCGAATTTCCATCTTCAGCACTATTCCAAAGAGATCCTCCGACAAAACTCAAAATTCAAAATTCAGAAGTCAAAAATTCAAAAGTTAGAATGGATTAAATAAGAATATAATCAAAGTCGGGTTCAAAACCTAACCATCAACTCCACTCAACCTCTGACCCACTCCACCCCACCGCTGAACAACACACACTCTTTTTATCAAACCTAGCAACCTCGCATACTCTAATAATTAAAAGTCGATCGCAGACTTAAGACTGCATGTTAGTGCTATCAAAATGTTTAGTTCAGTCTGGTTCATTTTTCAATCGTTCATTTTTGAATTGGAAGGGCGAGGCTTAGGTTTAACAGGTGGTGTGTTGGTCGATATTGTGGTAACATTCTGCTAGTGATTTTATTTTCTGTTTCAGTATACTTTTTCCATCGATGATTGAAGATTCTGAAGCTAGAATTCTGCTTTTAATTTTTATATTTCTTTTTTAATAACATTTTTTTATTTTTTCCTTTGCATTTTTTGTTTTTATAAGTTCATTATAAAATTAAATGTATTTATAAATCTGTAAGTTTTTGTAAATTCTTTGCAGTTTTTTAAAGGCATGTTTATTCGAATTTTTTGAATTATTAAAGAAATATTTGCCTAAAAAAAAGAAATTTTCAACATTCAAATCCTCGTTATCATCAGTTGCTGCGATTATCTCTTTTGATATATTCGAAATTTTTCTAATGCCTTTGAGAATTTTTGTCGCCGTTCGCTAGTGAACGTATTCGAAATTCGCGAAATTAACATATTTCTTCAAATGATGACAACTTAATTTCTTTCGAAATTGAATTCGAAAATGGTTTAAATTTTTTGAAATTATTTTTATTCATTTTATTGAATATTTTTTCTATTCTTGTTTTTTTATTTTTTTGTTTCAGTTTATTTGTGCTGAATGAACAAATCGCATTCGATCTGAATGGTTGTTAAGTATAAATGTAAGGAATTTGCAGAAATGAAACTTTCGGTTATGTGTTATTTTGTGGACTGTGTCCAACTCCAAAACTCCCATTGGTTGATCTCTAAGGTAATAAAATCTGTAGATGGCTGTCGTTCTCTTCTTTCTTTTCTATTAGGGGTTTTGAGATGGACGCCGTAAATCAAGCTTTGTATCGTCATAATTTTCTTAAGTTTTGACGTTTGGTCAGATTCTTTTATTCACTGACCAAGCTTTACGAAATTTGGCGAATAAAAATTATGTTGCTGAAACAGTTTTATATTTGTTTCGAATGAACTTTTTTTTAGCAGCGCTTACCATTTCCAGTCAGGTACGCTATGCTAATTTTTTCTGACCAAATGTAGTTATTTAGCGACAGAAATACAGATGAGTCGCCAGCAAAGGTATTTTCGACGATATACTTGGCGGTAGAACGTCAGTATCGACCATCTAAAATTGGAGGAACAGTCTCTTGAACCCCAAAAATGATTTTTACATATTCCGTTTACATTGATTGCATTTTTTCCAAAGTACCAAAAGTGAGCAAAATGAGCATACTTGTGGACATTTTAGCGTGCTGGGATCTTTTTATAACGTACTTGCCTAATGATGATCCCAGTTTGTTTGACGATGAGTTTAGAAATTTCTTTCGTTTAAATGTTGTTTTATGAATTTTTATGCAGATTTTTTAAAGATTCAATGAGGTGGGAAAAGTTCCTCGCTTTTCATTAAGCAAATATGCTTATAAGAAGGCTTTTGCTTTGTTCCTTCTTACTTATGTTTAATTTATGAATTATAACTGCGCATGCTTTAAACTTTTTCAGTTTTCGAAATTAATGTAAAGAAAAAATGTGCGAATCAGTTATAAGCGCCTGTGGAATTTTGCAATTAACATGGTTTCAGCTTTAATTTCCGACTTGTTCATACTGAAAGCGATTTTTAATTTCGATTTTAAATGATTTTATTATAAAAAGAACTGGGCATTAAAGTCATAGACAATATTTTCTTCTGAAAACAAGGGTTTAAGGCGAAACTTTAACGGAAAACGAACGAAATTGAAGGTCTTTCTGAAAAACAAGCCATGAAGATAGGCATGGACGATAGCATTAATAAATTTTACAAATTAATAGATTCATTAACCAATATAAACTCTTATTTTATCATTACTTTACAATTATTCGGACATAGAATGCCAGCTCGACAAATAAAAACTACAAAAAGATTTTAGCCGTAGTTTTTGACAATAAATAGTCTTGATAAAAGCTTTGGTCAACAAAGTACTTTTCTTCCTGCAGTCTATTTTCTATATATATAAAATATAAAATAAAATAAAAATCTCAGATACCTGAATTACTTACAATTTCCAACCTAAAAGGCATCGATTTTTCAAAGTTCTTCCTTTTTTCGTGACATTAAGATTTCTAGTATAACTTGTTTCACTAGTGGGCGAAATCCCTTCGTCAGGAAATCATTTGGGGACAGAGGTATGGGTGGGTCACCATAACCATCTGGCAGTTCAAGTGTTGATCTATGAACTATTTCGAAATTATTACTTTTTAAACACAAAGAAAATAACACTATCAAGGCAGTCACGCTAAACAACATATAGCGTAAATTTATGGGTTGTACCAATCTAAAAATAACAAGGTAAAAGTAAGAACAATAATACAGAACAAAATGATGATTCTACGAGAAGCAATATTCTGAATAGCCTCGCGGATTTGTTTGTTTCCCTCCAATACATTTTCAGAAGCTCGTATAGTTGCGTCATTGATTAAATCGATATCCTTCTCTTGATCCATAATCAAAAATAAATAAATAAAAATGTTAATTTAAAGTAAAAACTGCAAAACTTAAGGCATTCAATCTTCAATTGAAATTTTTAACGATGATATATATGCTTCCGCTCTTCTCACCAACGAAGATGACATTTAAGATTAAAAATACTGAATTAAGAGTACAGTTTTAAGAAATAAAAAGTATTTTACCCGGAAATGAGAGGCTATTATATAGTCAACAATTTAATGGCGCAAAAAAGAAACTGGGTTCACCTTTTCTGCGAAAGTCTCCTGAAGACGTTGAATATCAGCCATCTGTTTTTCAATTCGTTGCATATTGCCATCTACTTGGGCCAATTTATTGAATAACTGTTCGTTTTCTATGGTGAGTTGCAACTTTTCTTTATCATTCAATGTTTCTTCAAATTTATATGCTTCTTCACAATTCTCATCTGCAGTACAAACTTTTGAACAAGCAGTTGAATTCAATTCAGCATCATAAGAATTCAATTCTTTTGGTGTTGCTGATTCTACAATATGAAATTAAGCTGAAAAACGTAGAATATAAATATAGAACTGCATATTTAAACCATTCTACCAGTATACGATGAAATCGGACTAAAAAACCTTACGCAACAATGTACATCCCTCTTTAGAATCTTTTACGTGCTTCTTTCTTATATTTTTTTCATGAAAAATTTCCGATATAGGAGGAAATTCAGCGACCAAAGATGTCTTCTCCTCTTGCAGGTTAATGCACATTTTTCCTTTGAGCAAATTTGCTAGCGTTGAGAGTCTGTAATTCAAGAAAATTAGAGAAATTTATGATGATACGAATCTGTGCTAAATGAGAATCAGAAAAAATAAATGTTGAATTCAAAAACATAAAATCTAAACGGAAAGTCTGAAGATAAAAAGGCACAGTAAACAATGATTGAAAGATTCTTTTGAATGATTCTTTTACAAAATGAAAAAAGTTATAGAATACAAAAATGCCAGGAAAGCAAGATTTTCATATTTTAGCTTTGAACATGCAACTTTTAACTCTCTGATATTGAAGCGAATGATAAAAAATGCAAATCACTTTGATATTTTCCGTTTATCGCCCACTTTTTTCAAACGAATCCTGCGCAGTTCAGCCGAAATTTTGATCACTTTCATCAAATAATCATCTAAGTTTAGAACTATCTAAAAATATAGGAACATAATATATAGGAACAAATGAACCTTTTCAAAATTTATGAAAAGTCCCATGCAAAAAAAAACTGAAGAAAAGAAATAATAAATCAGCAGAATTAAAAACACTCAATGAAAGATTCAAATTTTCTTCAAATTTTTGTCTGTCAAGAATGAAAGTTTTATTATCAGAGATATGCAAATTTTGCATTAAAATGAGGTAGCCTGTTGCAGATGAAGAAGCTCATCAGAAGCGCGAAGTGTTTCATCAGATTTAATTTGTCGTCGTAACAATTGAATCATTTGAGTGCACTGCTGTATTATTTGATCTGTTTCCGAATCCATAACATCCCGGTCCCAATCATTCATTCCTTAAAACACTGCATTTTCCTAGACAAACTTCGAAGTTTCATGTTCTTAAATTAAACTGTTCTCATAATTACAACTACAACTCATAATTTTCTACAACTCATAATTTTTTCTCATAAAAGAAAAAGGTTGTGAACAGAACATTTTTCCAGACATTAAATTTATTCTTATAAAGATAAATTAAAAATTAAGGAAAATACTAACCATTTGAAAATGATACGAAATCTGGATGATGGCCCAGTGCCGTTATGTAATCCTTTCGTTTTGCTATTAAAATATCTTTTAAATCAGTTATATCTTTGCGAATTTTGCCGGCCTTACATAAATATACTGAGAGATTGTCTTTCGAAAATTTTGACGAAGATTTGCTTATTCCATTCCCGCGAACTGCAAAAAAAAAAAATGAAAATTTTTAAGAAATTCAAAAAAATAACCTAAGAGTAAAAAAAAGAAAATTTCGCTTCGCTGTTGAGGACGATTCAACAACGAAAATAATTTCGAAAGAAACCTGCCAGGTGAAAAATCGTTGAAATTGTTGATTCTTTTCCTTACATCTCCACAAAATAGGTCCTCATTAGCAGAATCTTTGGTTGAATAATTCTTCTCCAATTTTGTTGATAGACGCGCTTGAATTATTTTCGCCCGAGCACGAAACAGTATGGTGTTATCGATAGACATTGCGATTCACCAATAAGTGTTCCACTATAGAATATTTTTACGTTCGCAGATAGAGGCAAATCTATCCAAGAACAGCATTAAAACCGAATGGAAAACTTGTATTCTTCAGATCAATTCGTGCAAACCCTTCGGACCCCTTCGTTTTAGTTCTCCACTAAACAAAGACCAATATTCACCAGTAATCACCATCCAACTTATCTGTACAACCAGCCGAACGATAGTAGTACTAATTTGCGATCGAGTAGCTGAGCTTTGGCATAGAAGACAATTCGCAGTCGATGTGGTGTCTTAAGCAAATCTCGAGCTCCTTAGGTTCTTTCCTTTTTTCTTTTATTTTTGCTTAATTTGTTTTAATAAGTGATTTTGCGTAATTTGCATTTAATAAAGTCCAGTTTCCATTATCAGTAAATTATTATCATATCACATAATTTATGTATGCAAAAAATTAGCTGATTTTGAATCGCTCTTTCCCGCCTTTCGTGTCTAATTTATAAAACGCTGTAGCGAACGTGGCCGTGCGCTATGTTCCCTGGCTTTTTACCCTGCCAAATCTTCTGCTGTCGTTGTTTTTTATTTTTTCGGCTATTTTTGATTTATCGTTGTTTTCTTATTCTTCCAGTAGCGCACACCTCGTCGCTCACTCTATTGGCGACTAGGAAAAGACGTTTCCGATCGGATGGCACTCCTGAAAGTGGTCGAATCACTCCTTTTTTAATCGTCCAAGCTCATATATCGCAGGAATGCCCATGCATTCAAAATTTTCCTCAATCACATCAGCCCAAGTATTGATTGATTTTGTCCAATTTTGGCGCCTTTTTTTGGCAGAACTTAGTAAGCAAAGCAGCATGCGTCAAAGCCTATAACTGTTTTATAATACTAAAATTCCAAGTATATGGGCCCAATGATACAGAAGGAAAACTGAACGGATGGAGAAAAAATAAACATTACAAAACTGGGAAATGTTTGGTAAAATGTGGTCATTATCCATGATTATAATTACCAAAGATTTGCCCTACGGATTGGTAGAATTGTCTTTATCCTTACTATTACATTTTGTATTTCCTCGAAAAATTCGTTATATCTCGTTTATATCCCTTTGAGGTCTTAAAATTCTCTCTCCAACCTATTTTCGATTTCCAATAGAAGCACGTTTAAACGTTTAAATGTTAATACGGTAAAAAAATATACATTTTGTTGTTGTAGTGATTTCGCGGCTCACCGATCTCCTTTTGCGGGCGAAAACTTCTACAACAAGTAATTATTTATTTTAAGTTTTTATTGTTTTAAAATTTTCTAAGAAAAGTGAGAAAGATCTTGAAATATCTTGAAATATTTGAAAAAACCCTCGTTTCAGGATGATGTTAAAAATTCCTGGAGGTCCGGATGATTCGAATCGTGATTTAACTGAGGAACAACTGTATTTGGACAGAAATGCTAATTTAGAGTGGGCAGATGAAAATGAATCGAATTTCTGCTTTGGCGAATTCGAAGATGCTATAAATTGGATATCGGATTCGCTTGTCACTGAGCCAAACGAGAAATCTACTGATGCATTTCTTTCACTTTTCAGTGAGTCGTTTGTTGTTTTTGTTCTAATATTCTAATATTCTTATTTTTTTGAGATCCTGTTTGTATTAAATATTGCAAGTGTGGCGCTGTATACATTTTTGCAGTGACTCATATGGCCGTTAAACTGGACAAAATCAAAATTCGTTCTCCCGCTAGATATTATGCTCTATGTAGTGAAATCGAGAAGATAATAAAGGATGCGAAGGAAGAGCTAAATATCGTTGCAGACTATTGAAAATTTATGGAAGGAATTATCATGGCTGTAATTTTGTAATTTTTGCGATGTGAAATAGAATCTACTTTTTTTGGTTTATTTTATCACGATAATGCTGATAATTTACTTCTGATTTATATTTCCGAACTCTTTTTATTCAAGGTATTCATGATCTCGATAGATCAAACTACTCAGTGTATTGTATCTTTCGTTTTTTGTGTAATCTTAATTAAATGGGAATTTTTTGATAAAATGAATCACATATGTAATTTTTTGTCGTGAAATGCCAACGCTCAAGAGATTTGACACTTCCATTTGTTTTTACGAAAAGAGATATTAAGAAGGAAATATTCGATACGAAAACTAATAAACAGCTCTCTCCCCGAATAGGTTCGATTTGGGGATTATAGGGAAATAGCTTGAAGAAAAAAATAGGAGTTTGGGGGCTTTTTATGAATATTTCCTTATCTGTTTGGTCATTTGAAAGGATTTGATACGGAAGGGTTCTTTTTTGTGTCTGGCTTTGTGGGGTGCACATTTTTGTCGTGTCACTTTGAAATAAACGTTCTAATTTCAAATTTTAAAAAATGTTACAGCAATTTCATTACCCGGATATTTGGAATTACACTGGCCATTCAACAGCCGTATATGATTACAATGTGATTTACCACTCGATTAACAGCACCCTCAGAGACCGTCGCCTTCACTGATTTGGGAAGGTTCTTCGTCGCCCATCACAGGAGTTGACATATTTCGTATTTCGTTAGTTGCTAAATTCTGTGTTGATTGGCGTCAAAAGCTGGGTCGACCAGTTAAGACCTGGAGTGATGGAGTCGGAAAAGATTTTGAACGTATAGGTGGACCATCAATATATGGACTTAGATGATGGAAAAAGGAATGGCTTCTATTACTGTCTGTTGGCGTCGGATTATACAGTTTAGAACGTCTTACCCTTGTAGCCAGTGAAGTCAGTCTAACCAGCAATGGTGAAAGCTATTAGAAGAATAAGAATGATTTAGAAGTTAGTAGTTCCATGCTTGCAAAGATTGCCTACTGAGCGTTGCAGCTATTACCATTTAATCCTCCATGGAATGCGGGTGCTAGATATCCTTCGTTATCGCCATCAGAAAGCCGGTAGGAATAAGCGGCTGAATTATACTGTCTTTTGCAATAGTTGTAAATGATTGGATTTTTGCAGTCCTTAAAGCGATGACCACGTTTTAGATATTTTAACATTTATTTTTGAATAGAAATTCGATCTCACATATTTTATCTCATTGCGTTTATGGCTACAGTGTAATCCTTTGCAAAAAATGTTTGCGAGACCAAGCCTTTTAGAATAAGTTTTTTACAAGAAGTTGTTAGAGAACAATCCAGTAATTTTGGGCCGCTTGACCGCTTATAAGAAAATTACCAATTTAAAGAGCTAATTTTGGGAGTGAATTAGAGTGAAGTGAAAACGATAGTCGTTCCATTGGATCTGTCGAAAATGATCCCAATTCTAACAGAAGTGGGTTTGGTTCGTTCATGTTCATGCATTGTCAGAGTTAGCTTAATAACTTTCATAGGACTATGTAGAATTTGAAGTTTCCTTTCTGTATCCCTTTAATATACTTAAGGAATAAGATTAAGTTTCATTATCAAGCATGGTTCCATATTCTTTCCATTCTTTACGAATTTGTTTCGTATCAAGTATGGAGCCATTATTTATTCTCCACTCGTTTGCATTTTTGCATTTTTTAGATAGCTCATAACATTAACTTCATGCTCTTATGCTCTTCAGTCAGTTCTGTACAGAAGCTACGATTTTTATAGAAAACCCTCCGTGATTGGAAGCTTATTTCTTTTAAAATTCTACAGTGTGCAGCTAAATCAATTTCTAAACAATTTCAAACAATTTCCAAACAATTTTTTGTATTGGCTTTTTGCAAAAAGGTATTCTTTTTTCATTCAACCTGCTTGGATTGTTATTCTTCTATATGAAAAAGTACAATAAGTATTTATTTAACTAATCCATTGATCTGGTAGTATGACACTTTCTTCTTCTAACAGCTTTCACCATTGCTGGTTAGGCTGGTTTCACTGGCTATAAGGGTAAGACGCTTCCAAGCCGTGCGGTCCGATGCCATCGTCGACAGTAATAAAAACCATTCTCTTTTTCATCGTCTAAATCCATATATTGATGGTTCAAATATATGTTCAAAATCTTTCCTGACCGTATCAGTCGAGGTCTTGATTGGACCACCTCGCTTTCGACGCCATCCATCACATGGACAAAGAACGAAATATGCGTCAATTCCTGTGGTGAACGATGGAGAACTTCCCTAACCAGCTAAGGTGACGCTTTGTGATAACATTATTAATGCAAGTGGTATAAGTTGGATATAACCATGTGCGATTTATCCGCTCGAGGGACCCATAAAATGTATGTTAGACATGAGAGGTCAAATGCACCACTCTTATAAACGTTGTCTCGCAATCATATAGCAAGATCGAACGAATCGCGGCTATATAGATGCGGGAATTTTTTTTTAATGGTGATTTTTCAATAGCTTCAGAAAGATTTCGTCAATTGGAAGAACGCATTTCTAGCTGCCATTATCCAGGTTGAAATTTCGGCATTAGAATGTATTCGGCATTATCTAAGGTATTTAAAATCGAGCACTTTCTCAACCAGCAATGAATTTATAAAAATAGGTTCTTAACATCAATGAATTAATAAAAATAAGTATTTTATCAACTTCTTGTATATAAGACAAAAAGACGACTTTCATTTTATTTATGATTCCGATTCTCGCTGCACCTGTTGACCCGTTGTTTAGCATTATTTGCATTTCATCATAACTATCAGTAAAAAAGGCTGCATCATCAGCATTCAAGATCTATATTACGATGCTTTGGACTGATTTGTTCACATCTTGAGTGCCGACAAGCGGTGTCCATTATCCAGTCTATCGCATAATTGAATATTGTAGGGGAAAGAACGCAGCCCTGACGGACACCAGTTTTTATTTCGAAGGAGTCTGTCAGTTTCCCATATACCTGTGCCAATTTACGCTGATGAAATTCTTTTATGAATCGAATGATTTTCTCTGGAACACCATCGCGTTCCTCCAAAGCGTCGTTCTATCAATCGAAGGCAGCTGCAAAGTCGATGAAACACGTGACAGTGGGTTGCAAATATCTGAAGCGATATTTGGGTTAGGCTTTTCTAGCATCTTCACCCTTCTTAATGGGAATATTTGGTCAGAGCAACCGCGCCCCGGTCTAAATCCAGCCTGATTGGGATTCTGTTGTCCCGTATTTCCATAAGTCTGTTGAGTAAAAGGAAAGCAAAAATTTTCACTGAGACGTCCAGTAGGCTGATTTCTCGATAATTATCGCAATGTGTCCTATCACCTTAGAAATGAAGGTAGAATTGCTTTGCTCCAGTCATCTGGGTAATATTTCTGACGATTACATTTTATTCAATTCCTGATCGAAATATATTTTTTCATAAGTTTTAGTTTTATGTAGGAATATATGAGTTAGGCTTTTCTAGCATCTTCACTAAGTGATTTGCTGCCTTAACTTTTGGTATTTCAAATATGAATATCTGAAATAATTTGTTATAGTCAAAGTGAGTTTTTTTATAATTTCTCCTTACTAATTAAAAATTAACACAATGAATTAACATAAAAAACAGAATGAATGGAGAGTTCATTATTCTAAAATAAGAAAATGGAATGATCTGTTCAAGATACCAAAATATAGCGAAAATATGCCCAAAATCACTATCGTTCTTGTCAGTTCAAACGGGGAATTTGTTGCGGCCAAAATTTTATCGTTCGACATTCACCAAAGCCCATCAATGATGTTTGGATTTTCAAAAAATTTTAAGCAGTTCTTTGTTCTTAGGGAAATTACACAGTCATATTATATCTGATAAAAGATTTCATCATTCTTTTTTTGAGATTATGGAAATTTAAGGTTTCACCAGCAGAATCCATGGCTTTAAAAAAAAACGAAAATTCCCTTTCCTTTGTTAATCGATACCTATAAATTTAGTTTTGCTTTTAAATTTGTGGTGCAATTTCAGTGTTGAACGAATAATATTGTGGTCATTGTAACAAAAGCGTTCCAATGTGTCAATGCTGTCAATAACAGATAATATGGAGGGAGCATTATGATATCCAGTAACAAGCTAAACTGTTGTTCTCGCATCACAGCAGAAGTTTAAAAAATCTTCAAGTGAATTAGGTTGGAATGTGAAAAGTAAAAAAATAATCGATTCCATGACCTAAAGGTTTATGCGACTCGAAAAAATATTTTTAGCAGCGAAATTGATTTCAACTATTAATAATTCAAAGGAAAGGGGATAGAATGGCTCAGTGGGTTGTTGCTCGATTGGGAGCTCGATTCTCCGCAAGCGTAAACCTGTACAAAAGTCCGGGTGATGCTGGCGACTCACCAGTATTTCTATCGCTAAGGGACTGCCTAGCATATGCTCAATATGACAAGCCAGTGGAGCAAGTTTAACCAGTAATGGTGAGGACTCTCATTACTTATTTATTAATTCAAAAGAAAACGCGTCAACCGCCTACCAGTTATATGTGATAAAATAAGAAGAAATTTTTTTAACGAAATTCCTCTGTGATCTCTATTCTATAATTAGTGATTCTGTCCTTGTGTGCCATTTTGAATCCATGAAACTTACTATATATATATATAACAACTCACTTTTCAGTACTAAATAGATTATCAGATGATAAAACAACATTTCAGTTAATAATTTTTAAAGATTTTTAATTATTAAGCTTCGAGCGCTAAAGTGCTTATAACTCAAACCGATTTCATTCAAGTTTTCAAGTTTTAGCTAATATTGCGTAAATTTTAATAATTTTGCTCAATTTGTAATAAATGGGATAGAATGGCTTAGTGGGTTACTCAATTCGGAGCGCCACTAGGGTTCTATTCCCCACAGGAATAAACCTGTCAAAAAATCCGGATGATGCTGGCGACTCACCTGTAATTCTATCGCC